GGATGGGCCGGCACTCGGATGAGTGTGAGGTGTGTGCGTGTGTGTGCGTGTGAACGCCGAGAAGTCCCCTCATCCAGTTTACCCAGGGCCTGCTCTGAACCCGGCTGCCCGGGACTTGTCGATATGAACATGTACTTTCTCCTTGCGGGCTTAAGCCACTTGAGCTTCTTACAATCAAGAGTCCTAAAATGAAATAACATCTTGGTGCCTCAGCTTTTTGCTAAAATTAAATTATCTCCCCAGGTTATACTCTCTTAGAGACAATCATAGGTCCCAAATTATCACCAGTGTATACTGTCTGCAGAACGTATAAGAATAACTTACTTCACTCTACCGTAGCATGTGCTGAGTATTACAGTTTAAGCTTCCGTGGATTCCTTGGCTTTGAGGAAAGGTGTTTAATGGAACTGGCACAGAAACAGACACAAAGACCCCTCCCTCGGCTCTTGACCCAGCGAGTCCCCTGCCCATCAGTCTCCTGAGGGAGCCCTCCCGATGGCTGTGGCGGAAGGGAAAGCAGCTCAGCGGTAGCAGCCTCCACTCCCGTGTAGCCACGCAGCCAGTAACCGTGACGCGCCAACTGGCCACGCAGGCGGTGGTGGCTGTGTCTGCGTGGTGGGCACGTAGTCCAGCAAACCACAGGAAGAGACCCTTCCTGGGTGTGGGTGGCAGCTGCCTGGGTGGTATAAAAATGGAAAGAAGTGTGTCGCCTTCCCGAGCAGGCCCGATCTCTGCTGCCGTCACCTCTGGACACGGCCTCCGGGTTCCCAGCGTCCTCTGCCTCCAATGGGCACTGGAGACCCTGGGAGGGGCTGCCCCCCTGGTCCCACAGGCCCTGTGCCTTCCAGTTTCTCCCCCAAGCGGTGACTCCATGGACCCTTGGCCTGCAGCTGTGGAGGCCACTGTGGGCTCTTTGCCTCTGATCCAGACACCTGCCTGGTAAATCCCCTCCCATGATATAATGATATGTCTTCTGTTGATTCTGTTCCTCCTGAGAACCCCAACCAATTTAGCCACAGAGAGCAAAACCTATTTCCAAAAAGGTGTCTTGCATAGAAATTCAATTTCAAGAAATAAGAGGTGTGAAGACTTTGGCTCCGTGAACGACTGACCAGAATTTGGAACCATGAAATCCAGTGTAGCTGTGTGGTAAACGTTTTCAGGGATTCACAAAGATTGGCTAAAATACATGTACGCTTCAGCGCTTCAGAAAAGCAAAACATGTACAATGTTAAAAGCAAATTTTCTTGCTTTAAAAAGCCAAGAATATCAGAAGTGTGTTCACATTTAGTAAATAATTCAGTTGCCAAGTTTGTTGTTAGGTTAATGGTTTTTGCGGAAGGCAGCTGTCTGCATGAGAGTCACCCTGACTGTGGCTGCTTCATTCAGGGGACACAGGCCCTCAGGAAATGAGTGTAAAGGCCACGCCCAAACCAGCCGCTTACCTAAGCTCCTGGAAAGAGTCCCTGCAGTGGCAAAAGCCGTCCTGGTGTGTCTGGACCACTCCACGTAGACCAGCAGCTACAGTGCAGGATGTACGGCGAGCTGAATTCAAGACGAGTCTGGCTGACTGCTCAGCGTCCTCCACCCGAGGGGCTGTTTAGGAAACAGGGTGCCGGGACCCTTTCACTGTTCTGCTCTGCTTTCGTTAGTTTCTAGGGAACAGCCGATGAGGGGAGGCACTTGCAGTTTGGAAGACTCACCACTTGGGAGTAAAGATGGGGGTAATAATCAAGCAACACTGTAAAACACTTGAAAAATGGAATAGTTCCTGCATATCTGATGATGTTAAAGAGTCACTGATGATTTTTAAAAGATGTAATGATGTGCAACTGTAATCCCAGGTACTTTGGGAGGCTGATGCAGGAGGATCACAAGTTTGAGGCCAACCTGGGAAATTTAACAAAATGTTTTGCTGAAGTAAAAATTTTAAAAAGGGCTGAAGGTGTATCTCAGTGGTGGCGCACGTGCCTAGCTCAGGGACTGAGTTCAATCTCCAGTACCACCACCAAAAAAAAAAAAAAAAAAATCGGTGCTGTATTGGCCTTCTAGTTCTGTTTAGAAGAGAATCCTTATCTTTGAGGGTGCCGTGTTGAAATAGTCATGGATGAAATGGTAAGACGTGTGGGATTAATTCAGAATAAAAATAATAAAAACTGACGAACCGAGGCATGAAGGAATAAAATTAAAAACGAGCTGGTAATTGTCGAAGCCAACCGGTACGAGTTCATTTTGCTATTTTCTCTAGTTTAGAATTGGTCTGGAATTCACCATAATGAAAGTACCAAGTGCAGCTCGCGTCTCAGGGATCGCAGGGAAGGTGTGCTGAGCCCCCGCCTGCTCTGCCTTTCCTAGCTCAGCCTTCCTCTGGCCTCCTCTCTGCACGCGTTGCCTTTCCCCTGAGATCTCATCTGCTCCAGGCGTCCCTCACACCGCCGCTTCTGCGCCAGCAGCCCGCTCTGCACGTTTCCTTTCCCGCTGGCCAGGGCCCCGGGCACGGGAGCCCCTACCCCACGCCTGCGCCTCCTCTCCGTGGGCGCAGGGGCCGCGTCCATCCCCTGTGCCACGCCCGGAATTCTAGTTTCTACAGCTAGACGTGGGCTGTCTGCTGGCCTAGGAGCTCGCTTCCCAGTTCCTGCCGTGGGCCTGTCCGTCCGGAAATCTGCATCTGCCTGCCTGGCGCAGTGCTGGGCACGCAAGTGGCGGTCAAAGATCTCGCGTTGCCTGATTCTCCTTTTTTCTTGATGAAACATTTCAAGCATGTAGGAAAAGGCAAGACAGGAGAATAACAAATAGTGGTCAGTGAAGGACAACACTGGACATAAAATTCAGGCCTGTGTGTTCTTCATGATTCTCTCTCCCATCTTTTCCAAAGATAATCGTCCTCAGCTTGGTATTATTATTCCAATGAATGTATTTTTTTTTTCTTGTTGTTGTTGTTTGTTTTTGATACCGGGGATCAAGCTCAGGCCCTTGCGCTTGCTTGCGAGGCAGGCGGCAGAACCACTGAGCCAAATCCCTAGCCTTTGCATTTGATTTTAAAGGATGAGGAGTAGTCTTCTGAATGTTTCAGACTTCACTTAAAAGATAATCAGGCTGCATTACTTCGCAGCTCTGTTGGCACAGTTGTCATTGTGAGGAACTCATCCGTGTGCGTATTCACTTTCTCTGTTCTGCAGTATTTAGCTATTATGTACCCGCTGTCTCGGAGACAAGCACGTAGGTTGTAGTCATTCTTTGTCTGTTATACACAGCACTGTAATGAGTACTTCTTGTTCACGGTGGGAGTGGAATTCCCGATGACTTTCTCACTAACATTTGGTCCTGCCAGATTTCTCAATTACTTGCTTGTCTAATGGGTATACAGTGTAACTCAATGGAATTGGGATTTTAAATGTATTATTGAGATCAAGCGTATTTTCTTATGAGTTTATTGGTCATTCAGTTTCCTCTTGTGAATCATCTATTTCTATGTTTTTTCTTAAATGTGGCAACATGTTTTTTAAAATTATGGTATAATATACAAAAAATGTGCCATTTAAACTACTAATTATACAGTTCAGTGCCACAAAGTACAATGTATGTAGACCTAATTTTACATTTCAGTGCATTTAAAGCTGCTGCTGCTAAAGTAAGAACTTTTTATTGTGATCCAGTATTATACATATGTATGTAATGTGATGGAAACAAAAATTTCACAAAGTAGAATATATCTTTAATGTGTGGGGGGTACTCAGCTATTTTCTGTTTGAGTATATTTTATTTTTAAGTACTAATCCACACCTACTAATAGTCAAAACACTATTTTATTGGAATTTACTTAGGCACTGAGGATTAAACTCAAAGCCTTCCCATCACACTATATTTCCAGTTCTTTAAAAAATTTTTTAAATGTTGAGAAAGGATCTCCCTTAGTCACTTAGTTGCCCAGGCTGGGCTTGAACTTGTGATCCTCCTGCCTCAGTCTCTCAGAGTGCCAGGATTGCACCCATGTGCCATCATGTCAGCAAAAGATTTTCCTTATTTTTATATTTTATTTTGAATACTAAGCCTTTGTTTGTTATATGCTTTGCAAAAATCTTTACTAGTGTTGTCTTTTAGCATAATTCATAATATTTTATGTACTGAACTTTTCAGTTTTGAGGTAGTTGAATATAAATTTGTATGCTTTGATTTTGAAACATTCCTATCTATCTTTTAGGTATTCTTTCTTTTTTTCTTCGTCTTAAAGATATTCCCTTACATTGTTCTCTAATTTGTCTTAAAGCTTTCAATGTCTGCTTAGAGACCGACTGAATGTGAAACTGAGCTCAGTGTGTGCTGAGACAGGGAACAGCTCCGTTCGGTGCTCTATGATAAGCTACTGCATCCTCTTACACACCAGTGTGGTGCCGGTTACCCCAGCACCCTTCTGACAAGACGATATTTCCCCAGTTGATCTGCAATACCAGACCTGTCCTATGTTACGTTCCTAGAAGCCCTCCTTTTCTTCTTCAAATCAAATTACCTATATCTTTGCAATACCGTATAGCTTTACTTACTATTATTTTATAATAAAATTTGACATCTAAAAAGGTATGTCTCCCTGCCTTGCTCTGCTTCATAAGTGTCTCGATTATTCTTAGCTTCTATGTAAAATTTGGAAGCAAGTTTCACAAAAGCACAGTTGGCATTTCTATTGGAACTTCATTGAATTAATTAATTTGGGAATATGGAAATGTTTAAAATATTGACTTTTTTCATCTTCTTACTGAGATTTTCTTTACTGTCTTTCAGTAAAGTTTTATATATATTTTTTTGTGGGGGGGTACTGGGGATCGAACTTAGGACCTTGTGTGTGCAAGGCAGGCAGCAGAACCACTGAGGTAAATCCCTGTAAAGTCTTATAATAATTTTTTTCAAATAGGTTTTGCAAAAGTTTTTAGCCTTATTTGTACGTATCTTCTGGTCTGGGTTCTATACTAAATGCATCTTTATTTCCTCTAACTTTTTAGCAATGCTGGGTGACGGGGAATATAAACTCTGGCCCTTGGGTCAAGCTAGCTGGCTACCTATTTTGGTAAGTAAAATGTTACTGAAACACAGTTCTGCCCCTTTCTTTACATGTTTTCTACAGCTGCTTTTGCACTACAAAGGCAAAGTTGAACAGTTAAGGTAGAAACTATAGGCCTGCAAAATTCAAAATCTTTACTACTTGGCTCTTTATAGAAAATAATTTATTGTCTCTAGTGTTTGTGAATATCATTGACTTTATATGTACAAATACCTGGTTAAACTCTCATAGTGCTGATGATTTCTGCTATTGTTTGTGCGTATGCTCATATTTTCTATGATAGTTTTGTTTCTCCCTTCCACATCTTGTGTTAGCTCTCTTCTTATCAATAGCCTTTAGTAGAAACAGTGAAAACTAACCACGTGGTTTTGTTCCTGACTTTAAAGAAAACGCTCCTAACATTTCGCCATAAAGTTTCAGGTTTGCTTCCAATTTTTGGTGAATTCCATATCCTGTTAAGGAAATTATTTTCCATTTTCCTATTTTTAGTGTTAAGGGTTGTTTTATAGTCATCAGTGGGTGCTGTTTATCATATACTTTCCCCAAAATCTATTCATAACCTACTGATCATGGGCTTTTCTTTCTTTCTTTTTTTTTCTTTTTACTGAGTTTATTGGTACAATCTAGGTATACAATACAGTTACATTCATCATTGGGATCCTGTACCTTTCCATAATAGGTCTTGATTCTCATTTTTTACCCTTGTCCCTGCCCTCCCTTCACCCCCTCCTCCCCTCCCCATTTACAAACACTTTATTTCCATTTTTTCAGTTTCTCATATTTTTGGGCTTTTCTTTTTGATTCTTTGACTATTGTGTGTTACAGCATAAAAAACCATCAGAATAGGTGCAGTCTGTCGTATTTTTCTTCCTGTTTTCTAATTTTCTTTTTCTTCCATTCTTCAACAGTGAGACATCAGTTCTACTCAGCTCCGTGAAGACCCAGTTAAAAGGAGCGGCTCAGAGTTCCCTGCCCATTTGGGAGCCACTGGTGACTTCCCAGAGTCAGCGAGGCCTTCTCAGTTTGGGGAGTTAGGGCTCCGCAGCGCCTCCCACAGGTAAAACATCTGCGAGCAGACCTTCGGAAGAGCTCCCGGAGACCGGTGGAGGACCGGCTCTGGGCTCTTCCGAGCACTGGTGTTTGCTAACCAGTTTCCCCAGCTCGCCAGCCCTGGCGGTGACGTGCAGAGGGGTAGCGAACCTGGAGCACAGGCACATTTTGAGATTCTGCTGCTTTGCTCTCTTTCACTCATGCTGCATCCAACCCGCAAAGTGCGAGGCAGTAAATCTTTTTCTTTCCTGTTCCTATATAAATTGAGGGCACTTTCATGTGTGTTCTATCATCTCCAGTTGACAGCCACATGTTGTGCAGTCTGGATGGAAAAACCCGACTCTTATCTTTGGGTCTCCGAAGAGCTTTAACGGATTTTTAAGAATTCAGGGAAACCATGATAGACTTGGCAAAGTACTTCGCCCCTGAGCTTTTGAAAATATGCATATCTTAAGAAATGCCTTACACAGGAACATAACGACTGTGTGCCTTATTCGTTCATCACTAAATGTTCCAAATTGTGCACTGTAGGAGTTAAAACACCGTCCAAAGAATGTATTGAATCATTTTGAAAATGTTCTTCTACAAAACAGGAAGTCACAATGTACCCACTATCAAGTGAATTTGACTCGAGGGAAGTTGGATTAGCTTCCAAACTCAAATTCATAACTCTGAGCTGGCTCTAAATCAGGGTGTTTAACGAGTGGCCCGCTTTGTAATTATTTTTCTCTTCTATGTTCGAGTACACAGCACACACTTCTTAGGCACTCCAAAACTTAGCGATGAGAAAGAGGTTTGTGTTTTGATTACACTGGATGTGGGGAAGGGAGAAAAATGACCCTGAGGCCATAGGCTTGGAAATGCAAAACGCATGCGCTGTACTCTTCCTGGAGCAGCGAGAGGTAGACGCTGTTCTTTGTCACTTGTTAAAACTATGGAAATAGGGGAAATGGACACTTAGTGATTATTCCAAAGGCATATTTCACGCATTACTTTAATACGTTATTTCAAAGAATTCATTGAAAAGGTCATAAAAAGTGTAGATGGTGTATACCATAGGCCGATCCTAGTCCTAGTACTCTGGGGAGTGGCCAAGAGAGAGAACTGAAAACCCTTCACTCTGAGGACATAGCAAAAGCTGCCACAGCTTCTCATATTTATATTACAGATGAGGAAACTGTCCAAAATATTTTGGAGTACACAGAAGGCATTAGCTTTTTAACAACACCCCACACACTAGAAGAGAGAACTTAACTAATAAAAATTTAACTGAGGGCATATTTTATGACCCGTATGCTTGGGATTAAGGCAAGGAGTCCGAGATAGGCCTCCTCATCAAGTTTATGGCATTGTGAGAAACAAACCAATCACTGTACACAGTGGGACGTCCAACGGTAAGGTGGCCCAGGTGTGTGCAAAGGAAGGCTGAATTAACTGTCGGTGCAGGGAGGGGTGTCCATCCCCCAAAAGTGTGCCTGGCCCAGGGGAGAGCCGGTAAATGCTGGCTCTCTTCTCCCTGCTGTAGAGGTCCTATGTGTGCCTCTTTGTGCAAAGATGATGGGGCCACTGGCCAATGCCACGGGGACGTGGATCTAGAATCTCTTCCTTGGGGACAGCTACGTTAGTACTGGTTCCTCTGAATTAAAAATGTTTGCTCCTTCTGGGAACCAGTGCCCAATACTCACAAAATCGCTAACCCGCCGAGGGGGCGAACTGTGCAGGAAGAGAAGACCCACAAATCAATGCCCAGCCATGACCTTGGCCCCTGAGGGGAGCCCCCAGCCCTGCTCCTGAAGGTGCTAACGCCCTGTTCCTGTCTTTGTTTCATTTTGGAAACATGGAAGAATCACTCCTGAAAGCAGGGATTATTAAATGTTTTCTGAGTCTCCCAGAAACACAAGGCAGAAGGACTTCTGGAGCTTGGGCGGGTGCAGGTTTGGAGGAAGATGGCAGGAGGGGCCCGCAGCAAACAGAATGTTTGGTCCCTGATTTATTTAAACAGTGTGTGCAAATTTGATAGCCCATGCCGCACTCTCCTCATTTGTTTATGTAAACATGAAAACACAGCATCAGTTCCTTACTCCGTGAATGACTTAAGTCCCCCAACATCTGGTAAATCCATGCTCAGGAGCCTGTGACTTCCTAAGCCCTTGTTACACCAGATACAACAACTTGGTCTTTTTCTTTTAATTAAAAAATTTTTTTAAGAAATGATGACTATCAGCAACTCAGTCTTAGAGAAAGAAAATAAGATATTATCTTCATGAACGATAACTCCTCTCTGTTTAGGTTTTGAAGCACCCAGCTGCTCAGGCTGGTTCAGGAGTAAGACTCGGATCTGTGCTCGGGTCAGCAGCACAAGCACTGGGTGTGAAACACATGGGGAAAGGCAGCATCCTGCTGTCCTTGAGCCATCCCGTTCCCTGTCACTTCCTCACTGTGATGGTGCCTTTCTAGTTTCTCTCTCATCTACGCATTTCTTTCCACTGTGGCAAGCACTCTCAAGTAGATTGTGTTATGTGACTCTGCACGGTACTGAGGGCAGGCACCCTTCACCCTGACCAGTGCTGAACTAGGTTTTAACTAGGTTGAATTATTTGCCCAGTTGCGTTCATTCACAAAAATGTTTACTCTGCCCCCACGAGGCACCAGACACTGCAAAGAACGGGAGACAGGCACGTGAGCTAAACACAGCCCCTGCTTTGCGAGGGGAGACAGGAAAGTAAACAGGCAATTACAGGGTCAGGGCATAAGAGCAGTGATAGGGGTTAAGCAGCGGGCACCGACCGTGAACCCAGGGAGCTCCCCACCCGAACTGGGGAGGTGGCTGAGCTGAGCTGCAGGACAAGTGGGACCAACCAGTCACAAAGGCCCCGAGGGCAGGGGGCGTGAGGGTCAGGGGCGGCCTCGGGCCAGGCTCACCTCACTCCCAGCGGCACAAGCTGTGCGGTGGCTTCTGTCCAGCTCGCTGGAGGTTCCGCACAGTTTGCTGCAGGTGGTGTCACTGGGTCACAGGGTCCCACCACAGATTCTTATTTTTATCTTGGTCTGTAAAAACTTTAAAACTTGTTTTTCATTAACTTTTTATGAGTCCATGCTTGTGGCACATAGTGACTCCATCGACTGCAGGGAGTTGGTACACGTGTGTAGCACAGCTTAATTTTCACATCCCCTTCCCCTCCCTCCTTCCATCTCTAGATCCTGATGCCATTTGCAAAAGATCCATCTCCTTGTTTCTTATTAGCCACCCTTAATTTTTCTCTTTAAATTATTTATACTTTGGAAGCCAGGTGTGGTGGTGCATGTCTATAATCCCAGCACTCGGGAGGCTGAGGCAGGAGGATCGCCACGAGTTTGAAGCCGTCCTGGGCTGCACAGTAAATTCAAGACCAGCCTGAGCTACATAGCAAGACACTGTTTCAAAAAATGAAAACCAAACCAAACCAAAATTATTTGTACTTTGGGTTTGTCATATGAGAGAAACCATCTGATACTTAATCTTGCGTGTTTGATTTATTTCACTTAACACTATGGTATCAAGGTGGATATATTTTTCTGCAAATGACTCAAATTTATCCTTCTTTATGGGACAGTAGTACTCTATTGTGTATAAATACCAGATTTATATGGATATATAGGCCTTACAAAATTTAGTATTGTGAGTTGTGCTGCTATAAACATGGGCATAGATGTACCACTGAGACATGACATCTTTAATTCTTCCAGAAAGACACCCAGAAGGGGACTGACTACCTGGTGTTGTGGCCCGTATCTAGATGTTGCCCCAAAGCCTTGTGTGGTCATTGGTGGGAGTTTTGAAGGTGGCTGGATTAGGCTCTGTGATTCTGGGCTTAAGGATGTGATGCTGGGATTAAAGATGCCAACTCTGGGTGTGGGTGGCATCACCCAAAAGGTATATAGCCTGAATGAAATATAAGGGACAGAAAGAAGCTGCTGCTGGTTGCTTTGCTGTGCCCTGCCTGCCTGCCATGGACCGTCTCGCCTCTGTGGCGCCCTCTGCCAAGCCACCCTGCCTTGGAGCAAGCTGACTATGGACTGAGACCTCTACAGGCTGTGAGCTGAAATAAAGCTTTCCTCCTTAACTTTGGGTGTTGTGTACTTTGTCTCAGCAATGAGACAAAGTAACTAGGATAGCTGAGTTGAACAAAATGCTTAATTTTAGTTTTGTGGGAATCTCCACACTGATTTCCATAGTGGTCATACTAGTTTACATTTCTACCAACATGTAGAAGTGGCCAGACGTTGTGGTACATGCCTTTACCCAGCACTTGGGAGGCTGAGGTGGGAGAATTGCTGTGCATTTGAGGCCAGTTTGGGCCACACAGCAAGACCCTGTTGCAAAGCAAAGCAAAATGGAAATGTTCCATTTCCCCTCCAGCTGGGCCAGCATTTGCAATTATTTTAAAAAAATTTGTTTTGTACCAGGAATCAATCTCAGGTCCTTGAGCCTTTGAGGCTGGCGATGGAACCACTGAGCTAAATCCCCAGTCCTTGATTTCTTGATGAAGCTGCTGCTTTCTGGGCAAGATGGAATCTCAATGTTGTTTTAATTTGCGTTTCTCTAATGGCCAATGATGCTGAACATTTTTAAATATATCTATTGGGCATTTGTTTTTATGACAAGTGTCTTACTCATTTCAATTGCCAAATTTCTTATTGGATTTTTATTTTGGGGTGGTGTCTACTTCTTAAATTTTGTATATATTCTAGATATTAATATTTGGTCCAAAGAGTAGCTGGTGTTTTATCCCCATTCTGTAGCTTGTTTCCTCACTCTCTTGGTTATTTCCTTTCTTTTTTCTTTTTTTTTTTGTTTTTTTGTTTTTTTTGAGACAGGGTTTCACTATGTAGTGAGACTGACCTGGAACTCACTATGTAACTCAGGCTGGTCTCAAACTCACAGCAATCCTCCTTCCTCAGCCTCCCGAGTGCTGGGATTACAGGCTTGCGCCACCACGCCGTTTATTGGTTATTTTCTTTTCTGTGCAAAACCTTTTTGTTATAACCCCATTTGTTGTTTCTTGGTATTATTTCCTCTATAACTGGAGTTCTGTTCAAAGATACCTATATCTTCCAAAGTTTTACCTATTTTATCCTCAAGCAGATTGTTTCTGTTTTTAATATCCAGGTCTTTGATCCATTCTGAGCTTAATTTAGTGCATGTTGAGAGATATGGGTCTAGACTCAGTTTTCTGCATGTAGGTAACCAGTTTTCCAGCACCATTTATTAAAGAAGTTATCTTTCCTCTAGTTTATGTTTTTTTTCCCTTTGTCAAAGATCAGATGATTGTGCCTGGGGATATTTCTGTATCCTCTATTCCGTTCCATTGATCCACATGTCTGTTTCTGTGCCAGTAACATGCTGT